CAGACACGGGGAGAACATGCAAACTCCACTCAGAAAGGCTCTGGTCCGACCGGGATTCGAACCCAGGACCTTCTTGCTGAGAGGCGAGAGTGCTATCCACTCAGCCACCGTGCCGCCCGGTGCGGCACGGTGGTACTACTCTTTGGTACTACGGTACTGCTTCGATGGACATATGTCGTCTTTGACAGTGGTCCCCAACTCCCATTCATTCGAACCGGGGCCAAGGAACGTTTGATAAATGACCAGATCTCTCCATACGTCTTGGTCACTTGACATTGTAGCGCTAAAATGTACACTGTCTGAAATGTAAACAAGCTAAAATATAAACGGTCTGCGTTGTGAAGCTGCACCCGAGCGCTGCACAGAGGCGCTGAAGTTTTACAAACAAGGTGTGAAGAGAAGAGATGGAGGGATGGGATGTCTGTGGGAGCTTAAACCCACTATCAGAGAAGCCAGGACATGTGCATACACAGCGGCAGAACTGTGGCTATTAGCTTGAGCCACGGCGCCCCATCCGCACCATGATGAGAAAACAGAACATTCAAACTCACGCTGGTGATAAACGTATTCTGGCGATTTTTTCTGTGTGTTTTTCATATTCGAGATTGGTCCCTTGAGATTGGTTTTTGACTGTTGCACTGAGCCAAAGCAATTTCCAAGTCTGTGACCTCCCGTTACTTACGTTGGCAATAAAAATGATTCTGATTCTGATTCTGATTGAAGAAGTTTAGTTGAAACCTGTAGAGTTTTAACTAAACTTATTCAAGGGACAAGCCTCAAGTAGTAGTAGTTGGACTGCGCTCGGAGCGGGTCAGAACATCCCGTGACTGGGTTGCAGATTTTGCCTCGTTCTCATTACTCTTGGTGTGAAGAAAGTTACTGACGGTGTGAGGAAAGTTTTATCTTTCGTTGCCTTTCGGTGCGTGTAGTTTGCGATTTTGACGTTGCGACGTTTGCTATTAGACGCAGGTTTCTAGAATTTTGCATAATTCTATCTCTAAAAGATTGTTGTTCGGTCGTTCTTTTACATAACTGTGGTCTTCTATGGTTCTTTTATATGACTGTGGTCCTCCATGGTTCTTTTATATGACTGTGGTCCTCCATGGTTCTTTTATATAACTGTGGTCTGTGGTCCTCCATGGTTCTTTTATATAACTGGTCCTGCATGGTTCTTTTATATAACTGGTCCTGCATGGTTCTTTTATATAACTGTGATCCCCAATGGTTCTTTTATATAACTGTGGTCCTCCATGGTTCTTTTACATAACTGTGGTACTCCATGGTTCTTTTATATAACTGTGGTCTGTGGTCCTCCATGGTTCTTTTATATAACTGGTCCTGCATGGTTCTTTTATATAACTGGTCCTGCATGGTTCTTTTATATAACTGGTCCTGCATGGTTCTTTTATATAACTGTGATCCCCAATGGTTCTTTTATATAACTGTGGTCCTCCATGGTTCTTTTACATAACTGTGGTACTCCATGGTTCTTTTATATAACTGTGGTCTGTGGTCCTCCATGGTTCTTTTATATAACTGGTCCTGCATGGTTCTTTTATATAACTGTGGTCCTCCATGGTTCTTTTATATAACTGTGGTCCTCCATGATTCTTTTATATAACTGTGGTCCTCCATGATTCTTTTATATAACTGTGGTCCTCCATGATTCTTTTATATAACTGTGGTCCTGCATGGTTCCTTCTCCAAACTTGTGAGGGCACGGTGAAAGCAACGATATTTGTAGCATCTGTGAACCTAAGACGCAATTTTCGCATCCTATTGTCCCTTATCAACCAATGCATTTCAAGATGGCGCATTGACACGGAGAGCACTCCTCTCTCATGGACATTTATAAGTCAAATTCTAAGTCAATAACAACAATTCAAAAACATGGTGGAGGTAGATATTCTTAACATGTTTTTTTCATTTGGAGCAACTGTGGTGTACCTTGGTCCTGTGGTGTGGTCTAATTACACCAAGCCAGACCCAACGCTGGTCTAGAGCAGACTTTGTCACTGATGCAATTACCACTGAACTGAACAAGAACTCACTTTAGAGACAAAGGCCGCCCCCGACAAAGGTGTTCATAAAAGCCTGGTATAAAACTACTATAACATTTTACTATGGGTTCTGTTCCACAAAAATTAAACTCCAATAATAATGTCACATGCTCAACCTCTCTCATAACAAACAGTTGAGCCACGTATGAAGTTGCACGTCCCGCTACACTGCACTCTAAACAGGAAGACTTCTGATACTGAAATGTACCAGAGGTAGCTCCAGGAAACACACCCATTGTTCGCCCAACTTCCTGTTCTCCTCATATGTGGTCATAGTATATGTGATGCTCGCTGACTGATGGTTCTCTCTTAGTGAAAAAGAAGGAAATACCTTACGCAACACGAGTCATAGTACAGAACATTCCAACACTGAATGACTAAGAAAATAAATATGTTTGAACTGTGATGGACCGGTGGTATTTTGTAGACGTGTTTCCACAACTTCCCATGTCTCAAATACAAACTTGTTGGAATACATTTGAATCCTCTCTTTGTTTATAAAAACATGAGCAAAACAGCAAGTCGAGTGAGATCCATAAAGCACGTACACACACTGTATATAGAGTTCTGCTGTTTTATATTTTAAACTTAATGTCATTGTTTAAAAAAAGGTCAGTTTCATGAACAAAACAGCAGTGTATTGGTTTAATTTTGACACTTTAATTTTGAAACTTCCCGAAATCTGCTATACAGTCGTTGGATTTTGAATTAATCACTTTATATATACAGTTACTATTTGGAAATAAAATCAGAAAATTATCATCATGAACTATTTGGTATCTTGGTGGTTACGCCAATATTTTCTGTGTATTTGTGAACTAAAGCTGAAAAAAACTACTAACTACTAACTACTTTGTTATGCTCTGGAGAGAAACAACAAGGTCTGAAACATGTGTCAGAATATCGTTTCTTATTCTATATAACAAACGATATTCTGACTATGTGCTTGTTTCATAGCTTTGTGATGCTTGACGCATCTAAGCTAAACTATGTATGCGAAAGAGAGAGCTATAAAAGTGATCTGGCCTTGTGTAGGTCACAACAACTCTGATTGTGTATCAGTGTTATGATTCTATTATGATCTTCTGATGTATGACGTAACATTGACTATATAAACTATATCCTAACTTTGTCCTATCTGAAAAAAACTGAAAGAAACTGAGAATAAACTTCCAGGTATCTGTGGTGCATAAAGATCCCGTCTGTGAGACTGATTTTCCACATACGTCTGAAGGATGTTTATGGAATCTAACATATCTTTGCCATGCTGCAAGTCACTTCTTGTCCATCCGATATAATGTATGTATATAATTGAATATTTTTTCACAGCAAAGAAGAAGTGAGCTGGAGATTATTTATCCACTGTTTTAATTTCACACATACTGTTACATGATTGTGCAAAGAATGTTTCTAATCATTGTTGAAAATAATATTTAATATGATCCTGACCTACGTGGCTGTGCATGTATGCTATTAGCAGACAAGGTTTTCCATGTCAGTAAAACAGAGCTGTGTTTACATGAGCTGACTGCTATCAGATAACACTGATGTCAGTCACTATGGCTGCATGAGCATAACAGCCTCCCCCCAGGTGAGTCAAGGGGGCACAACAACTGAGCCTATAGGCTCTTCCCAAACAAAACATACTTGTGGCCAGGACTATAAACAAATTATTTCTACAATATGCCTCAGCTTGATTATATTGTATTAAAATACCAATATTGGTGACCAATACTGATATTACTGACCATTTCACAACGAAAGAATACATTTTTGTATGCTATGATTTCATTTTTATATTAATTTTTTGTTATTTTTATTTTCTGTATTATATTCAACCAAACCGACTGTGAACATGGCACACGAATAAAACTACAGCAAACATTATTACTTATAATCAGATTCAAGAAGAAATATTCTGTATAATTATTTTTCATATTTTATGACCATCAGCAATTAAAATGAGACCTTCCATGTGTGAAAATAAATAAAAACAAACAGTTGCTTCAAAAAAGGAAGCATCTTAAAATAACCCACCAGGTTGTGCATGATATTTTTCTCCCACATGACTCTGACAGTTGGTCACTGCCCACTTCTCGCAGTATGTTAACATAAGGCATTCTGGCTTTTGGAATTTAAATGTAGGTCTAATGTAAATAAGGCCTATAGTTACACAATGCATGTTTGTAGTGGAAGCAAACACTTGTCCTGACCCCTGGTTCGCCTCACACTGGTGAGAAACGCCGTCATAGGATGGGGGTGGATGGCTAGAAGGTCATCTAACGCCTATGCAAAGGTTATTAAAGGTTATTTCCATGTGATGGTTTTTAGGACGTCCCACACCGGTAAGGGGTGAAGCTTTCCTCTTTTGACAGAGAAGATGCTCAAAAGATGAGTGATAGCGTTGCAAACCTCAATTAAGTATATAGAAGTAGCAAACGATGCAAAAACATAGGTTTTGTCATTATCAAGACGTGCAATTGCTTGTTTCGTGAATAGACCAGCAGTTTTGGTGGATAATCTATATATTAACGCGTTATAGATAGAGGCGAGTACAGCGTTGTGTCAACAGAGAAGATCTTTGTCGAGTGTGTGTTGACCAATCGCATACAACATGGGCGTGCCTTTCCTGCTCATCGGTGGCATCCAATTTCAATTGTTTTTCTTTCTTATTTTATCATGTGTTAATCTAATAAAAACAATTTTCAAACTATTGTCATTGTATTCTAATATTAACTCTAAATATTAAGCACAACATGCATTCTGTGTGATATATAGGGGTGTTTTTGACAGTTTAGGAATCGAGATGGAGCTAAGTCACCAGAAATCGCTCGCGGTTTCGGTGGGCGTTGCGAACTGTCTTCTCCTCATACATGACTTCACCATCAGCCTGACACAAGCTCATTTTCCTCCACACAACATCCTCACAGGCTCACGGACATGACAGAAAGCGCGACAAACAAACTAGCCAACGGAAACGGCTGCCATCGGACCTCAAACGGGAAACACGTAACGAAAAATGGCTTCGTGAAGACCCACTGTCTCTTCCAACAACCCCCGAAGAAGTATCGTCGCCCCGGAGAAAAGGTGCAGGCCATACACTGTCCAGACTGCAGCTGATGGATCGTAAAGTTTATTCCAATGTCATAAGAAACGTGTTCTTGTTTACTACTATGTCAAGCTGCACATGTGTTGTTGTTGTCATATTCAAAAAGCTCTGAATTTGACTGTGTGATTGCTGATTTGACTATTCACATCGAGTTGACTGAGTTTGAAGAGGTAATAGATTTTGGATGGAGGGTCCTTCACCTGCTTGTCTGATATAGTAACTTTTTTATCTTTAATTTTTATCATAAAAACCGATTGTTATGAGAATTCACTTGCTTGTTCGATGTTAAAGTACCAACACTGTAACACCTATCCATCATGATGCGCCTGTGATTGTGAAAATATAAAGTTGGGGACCTAACTTTTACGTTTAAAAATAATACGTTTTGTTTACCCTTACAGAAAAGGCTTGGCAACATATAACACAACGCTGTTTTCATTGCAATAGAAGTTTTGCACCCATACTGCAAAGTTCTAAGAAAGATCCAAATCCATGGAAAGATCCCGTTTAGTCAATATATGACTCTTTGGGCTGATTGACTGATTGACATTTCACTTATCCATCTGAAGAAGCAGTCATAGAGGCCAAGGAAACAATATGTATGTGGAATCTAGTGATGAACCAAGAGACATGAATTGTACGTGGTTTTAAATAAGTAATAACACCTATTGAAAACTAGGTACCCGAGCTTTAATCAAAAGCATCTCTGTGTGGTCGCTGCTACCAATTGTTGGAATATGTAGTCAGGTGATGATAATGAGCAAATTGTTGTATTCAAAGAAAACCCATACATACAGCTTCTCCAAGTTTTCAAGTTGGCAGTTGTTTGCTTGTCTCATTAAAAATGGTGTGCAAATCATTTAATATAGGGTACAAAAGTTAAAAAATTAAGTTATTAATTATGTTTTTTTTTACGTGACTACACAATAGTTTGCCATTTATTCAAATTACAGGCAAAACAGCAACGTATCTGCAAAGAAAATAAGGTGTTGGACCCTCCCACTATCTACAATACAATGATACACTTTGTTCTTTGTCTATTTTCTTTTTTTTTAAGCTATAAGTCAAAGTTAGAACATTTTAAAATCTTTATTTGTTTATCTAAGTGCCAGTGACAATTGTCCAGTTGCATATTTCCCATCATGCAAAACATTCTCTCTGCTTCTGTGTCTAGTTATCACAAAAAGGAGTATTTATTTTTTGGCTTGTAACCATACACCCTGTTGTCCCTTACGCCCACAGCCTGCTCGTGTTCGTGTGTATGTGAGAATGAGTTGTCAGACCTGTCTCTGTTTACATTGACCGTAGTGTGAGGAGCAGCAGTCTGCGTCGCCTGTGTGATTTTAATTGGACTTCAGTCTCCTGGGAAATGCTGAAAGAGAAGGAGGAAAGGCCTGCTCCTACATGACACTTCAGCGGGAAAGGAATGTCTGCAGGCCGTTTCGGGTGTGGTCCCCTCTCGCGGGTGGGGGGGAAGAATTGCTAAATTGTCTATTCATCAGTCGTAGTAGTAGTAGTTGTAGTAGCAGCACTTGTGTTTGGGCTGGGGACCTGTTTTTTAGAGGTGCCTGGTTGATATGCAATGGTACGATTTAGAATAAAGACTCAAAAAACACAATTCTCATCATTTATGACCATGAGTTATCAAACTACACTACAACTTTCTACAATGCTTTACCATAACCCGCTAATCCAACATATGGAAATGGATAGTTTGTTACCAATTTATCTAATTTTAGTATTTATACCACTTTTATGGCAAAGATCAACAGGAGATGTTGTAGAAAAGGAAAAATGTATCAATCCAAATGATAAAAAGTAGTAATAATTCATTGTCTTGTATTTGGGGTATGTAGACCGACAATGTTTTATCAATCGAAAGCAGGAGTGTCCATACAAAGACGCTAAAAGACAGAATAAATAAACAATCGGACGCACTAAAGAACATAATTATTGTTTTTGAAATGAACTATTCGATTATGTAGTAAAAAGGTCATCAAATGCACAATTCATCACAGATTGAAGCAACTTTGAAGCGAGACACAGGCTGAAAGAAAGCGGAAAATGTTGTGCTTTCTTGTTTACATTCATATAGTTGGGCTTGTTTTTTTTTATTTTGCTTATTAAAATGCACTACAGTACATTCATAAAGAAGAAAAGTTATGAAACTTCTGGTTTTGAAGTTGGAAGCCTATAGCCTGTCAATGTTTAACCCGCATCAATTGTAAACACAAGAGTTTTCCATAAGGGAGTTAAGAAGGTCAACATCAAGGATCTTTCAACTTCTGCCTTGTACTCAGTCTTAGAAACACTATGAAATTGTCTGTCGTTCTAGAAATCTTAAACAAAGATTTATGAGACGATTACTTTGGTATTTTGTTCATGTGCTCACTGAGGCGTGTTGTCATCAGCCCACACCCAAGTCTGATTAAGTTCTCAGGTACTACTCAGAAGACGTTGACACATTTGATTGCACCATACGGGTGGTTCCTGAACATAATTTCATGTTGTTTACAAAGCCCCAAGCATTTATTATTTGAAAAAAGTTTACCGTCAAAATTCCTCATTTGCTTCTTAGTGGGAATATGTTAGACTATGGTGTTATGTTAGTTACTTAAAGCTGGAGTGCTTAACTTTAAAGGCACAAAACATTAGCCATGTAATCAAATCCATGTATCTAGTTATAGCTCTCAAAACTGTTTAGCTTTACTCGTGAAACTTGTAAAATCGTTCAAAATCGTTCAAGATTAAAATATTTTACAATGTGAGACTATACATGGGGGTTAGGGTTGAGCTATCCCTAACCCGTACTCAATACACCCTAAGTGAGATATGTCCAGACGTTATTAGTTAAAGATGTTGATATGTCTCACAGCTGTAGAAAAAAAAAAAAAAACAATCAAATATCTTAAACAATTTGAATATTGTAAATAAATTGGCCTTGATACTCAAAATTATAACAAAGGCTTTGCATATCAGAATCAGAATAATTTTTATTGCCACGTTAGTAACAGGAGGTCACAGACTTGGAAATTGCTTTGGCTCCGTGCAACAGGCAGAGAGAGAGAATAAATAAAATAAAAAGAATAAATATGACAGACTCTATATGTAGCTCTGTGTGTAATAAATCTATATCATTATCTATAGATAAATGTTTTATTGAATTACAGTATTTGAATTTGTGTTGAACCTGTATCACTAATTTTCACAAGCACGTGTTTTAAGGCCTTTATACGTCTTTTGATCCGCCGTTTTAGTGATAAAGACATTTTATATACATACATGTATTTCTGAAACCAAAAACTTTAATTCTGAAAATTACCCATGTGTGATTCTTTGAACACCACCAGTCTTAGGTAACGGTACAAAGAAAGCCAGTTCCTTTTTGGCTCTACTCAACCACTTTCAAACTCCTCCATTGTCTGTATACAAAAGAATAGGATCGTCACGTCCAAGAGCAGAGGGACAGATTCTCAGCTATCGGGTGACCAAAAGCAAAATGCATAGCAACAAAACCAGGACCTTTTTCCTGCCAGTGGTTTGTGTGAAGGTAGGAGAGGATGCAAATGACGTCAGGAGAGTTGTTTTTAGCCTGCTGTGGTAGTTTGAGCTTGAATGCATCTTTCAAAAGTGTTCAAAGAGCCTCCTTCTTCAATTGAATGTGCATGTGTACAAAGCCAAGTATGAAACGGGAGACGGTGGCTCTTGTGTAATTGCCCCAAAAAACCCTTTAAAGCCAGGGCGGTGCCATATTGGGCTTTTTGTAGTGTGGAGATATTTACAGGTGCACTCATTTCCGTTGTTGCTCGTCTGTCTGAATAAGTTGGTCATATATTCTGCTTGAAAACATTAAAGAATTGTATTTACTATGTCATGTCATGTTTTAGAATGTTATGCTAAACTTGATTTCACCTGAGAAATGACCGATTGGGGAAATACTTTTGTTTTAAAATGCAAAAAAAGTGTCATAGCAGTGCGATTCCATTATACTCAGAACTCAGAAGGGTCAGAGAAGCATGTTTGTGCCCAAAGTCCCTATTTTTATACGAGGGAACATTTTTTGCAACATGGTTAAATGTCTTTAAAGGAGTAGTGTGTAAAAATCTGACCAAAAGTGGTACTGCAACCTCTCTCACTCTCCCTGAGTCTGGTTGCCAGATATGCAGACGAATCCAGCTGATTGGTTAAACAATGGAGAGCGGGACATCAAAATGAAAACAATAACAAGATTTAGAGGCTGTAAAACTAATTCTAAAATTCAAATATCTCTGAACGACTGTTATCAGTTAAAGAAGTATTGGAAAAGAGCACGGTTTATTAATGCCTTTTGACATTAGGGCCTTTAAATGATGATTTGACATGAAAATCTTACATATTGCTACTTTATATGCCTGTCTTTTTCTCAAAAATAGTAAAAAAAAAAGCCTATACTACTCACTGATCACCTCTCCATGGATCAGACCTGTAGTGCTGTCACTGATAATATATTAAATGCAACTAATAATTGTTTCGCTAATTGATAACTATATTTTATTCATCGTCAATGGCTCTACTCCATACTTACAAACTCCAGCCCTTGTGTGCGCTGCGAGATGTGATTTTAAGACTCAATCTGAGCGAATCCAACCAAATACAATATATCTTAAAATGGATCAAACCCCACTCATCAGACACCTGGTTAGACATAGAACAAACACATAACCCTAATATTGAACTTTCACTCCTCCCCTTTCTTACTCAATCTATTAAATCAAATCCATGCTTCAAACACATAACAATATCATCAGCCCTGACAGCTTGGTGGAAATTCCACAAAATCACCAACTCAACCCTTGGCCCTTCCACTCACACACCTATCTGGAATAACCCTGACATCCTGAGCAACAAAAAACCAATCCACTTCCGCACATGGTCAGACAAAGGCATCACACACCTGCAACACATCATTCACAACAACACAATTGCATCTTTTAACCATCTCTCTTCGGAATACGGTATCAGGAGGAACCAGTTTTTACAATACTTACAACTGAAAGCATCCGTTTCAGCAGCATACAACAAATTCGCAGACCTCAGCTTCCCACAACCAATTACCTCTCTTCTCAACCTAAAACCAACAAAATGCCTCTCCAAAACGTATCAAATTATCACATAATCTGACACAACCTGACCCATCCCAATTGACAAATGGCAAAAGGACCTTACGGTTCCTCCCGATCCCACCTTCTGGACACAAATCTGCCACAATATTTACTCCATGACTAATAACTCCAATTTACAACTCATTCAATACAAAATCATTCATAGAACACACTACACTGGGCACAGACTAGCAAAAATGGGATTCACTTCAGCTATCTGTACTAATTGCACACAAAACACTCAGGACACATACATCCACGCCTTCTGGCACTGCACCCACGTTCACAACTTTTGGGAGAAGGTCACAGACATCCTGTCTCCCATATTTGACTGCCACATCCCCTGTACCCCCATCCCATGCATACTCGGTCACACCTCTACAATAAATATCAATCCAAACGACCAAAATACTCTCCTTGCTGCCCTAGCCATCGCCAAGAAAACGATCCTCATGAACTGGAAAACAAGACACAAAATAACCATAAACCAATGGAAAAATCTCCTCCTAGACCATCTCACTCTCGACACTACACCAACCTCACCCACCTCAACCACTCACACCACTACAGAACCCCTCTCCATCAAACCCACACTCTTACACTTTCTTACCGGTTGATTACTTGTCCTCTGAGAGCCTAACCCTCTCACACAAGCACTGACGACACTTAAACACATGACAACCCCCACATCAAACAACACCCCCAACTCACACCTACACCTCTCCTCTACTCTTAAACTCTTTCTTACTATTTGTTTATTACCATGTCATCATTGTTTTGCCCTTTATCTTTCTAAGTTGTCTTTTTTCACTGCTCTTACGATTCTGCGTCCGCCCCCATTTTGTCTCCCTCTTCCCTGAAGTTATATTACTATTATTATATTAGGTATTAACAATAATTATCATCTTGTTGCCAACTACCCTTGCTTGTCAAAGTACTGTACTTATCATCACATATTTCCCCTTTGTTTAGCAGCACACTTTCCAGTTTCTACTTGTAATACATTACAATTACTGTCATTCCTTGCCCTTCAAGACCCTCTATATCTCCACTAATAATAAGACCATTCACATCCAACTCACCTCATCAAACCACAGCTGACCCTCATCCTTCCACCACCCTCGTCTGTGTTTTTAATGCACCATAACTCAAACATAGGGAAAAACAGGAGAAACAATAATAATAACAATAATACATCAAAACAAACAAATAAGGCTAGGGCCACAGGAGACGTGGGAGATGCCCTTGGACAGTACCCCTGCATCAAGCTGACAACTACCCACAGTCTCCTTTTTATTGCACCACTTTAGACACATCCCAAACTGAGACAAAAATAAGAAGGGAAAATAGGGGCAATGAGGGTGATGGGTGGATGCACAAATTTGGGAAAATAGGAACACACACACACACACACGCACACAGTCCTGTCTGTCTTGTTTGTTTGTACGTCTGCACTTGTTTTGTAATGTCTATTTTTTCACAATAAAAACGAAAACAAAAAAAGACTCAATCTGAGCAGTGACTTCATAACAAAGTAAAGAGGAACTTCTTGTCGCATCTCTCGTCTGGAAATATGATCTATTTTAGAAGCTGTCCAAACTACTGCTCAATTTACTGAACAAATAATTGCTACATTAATAAATCATCAAAACAGTCACATCCCTGGTTTTGTCTCCTGCTAAATTGTGTTTTATTGTTTTTAGACAAATTCAAATATTTGTGTGACAATTCCATGGCCGTGTTTAGTTTCACATGTTTTTTTACAGCTTTTTACAGATTGAAACAGAATGCAGTTGTGTGAATGTTGGTTTCATTCTTGATCTTGTGAGCTACTGATTACTTCCATTACTTCCTCTAATATTGTTTCTCACAGAAAAGTGGCTAAAATAAGACTTTTACTTAGCAATACCATGATTGATTGAGGGAGACCACATCCTAAAGCTCATGTTGCCACTAATGCAAATGACTACTCCCCAGTGCCTATTGTACTTAATTTACTTTTTTGGTGTAGGGTGTCAGCTTACTTCTTCTTACGTATTTAATAATCCCACAGTTTAAAGTCAGATTTGGAGCTTGGTTCCCCTGCTCATCTTTTTTTCAGGGCCAATACCAATGATTAGGAGTAAAGATACCGATAACTGACATATCTATAGCTGACGTACATCTGTAAGGGATAATAATTACTAAATCAAACACACAAAACACTATACTATAATAAGTACATTTAAAACAGAATTGGAGTGATAAAGCGCTGGAGATTTTATGGGGTGGATCTCCCATGACTTTTGAGACATTTTGATAGATTCATTTTCTAGATTATTTGTAAAAAAAAAGAATGGTTAATCTAACGCTACTGAACATGAATTGTTATGAACCTCAAAATATCATAACAAAATTGTCACGTGGTTGCATGAAGAAAAAGGGAACCCAAAATGCAGGACTGAAAATCAAATGTAATTTAATAAAAATCAAAATCCAGAGAGACAAAGGCACAAAAATCTAGAACTGAAAAACTAGACAAGACAAATTTGGTAGAGACAATGGACGGACAACAAGTGGGGAAAAGCAAAAGGTATATATACACACAGGAGACACAGGTGGATCACATTAGGGCGGGGCTAACAATCAACAGGACACACTGGAATCAGGAAAACTCAAAATACAAGAGAACTAATAAAGTAAATAAAACCAGGTTAAAATAATCCAAAAAGTCCACACCATGACAAAAAATATGTATATGTATTTGTATACATCATATTTATTTACTATTTTGTCTGGAAAAAAATATATATTTCTGATCTAATATTCTAAAAATTGTTATATAGCTAACAACTGATCAGACAGTGCTTTGTTTCTTTCCGTTTGTGTGTTAATAGTCTGAATGGTTCAATGTATTTTTGAATTAGAAAATAGCGGGGGATGACCTTGACTTTCAGAAGGGCTAATCTGAAATGATTGAACCCATAAAAAACCCTTTCTCTACGATGGCGTTCCTGCTCTTTAACTCTGAGGTATTTCTTGAGAGGCATGACTGCTCACATGCCCTGTAAGCTCCAGGGCCTTTGGATCAGAGACCAGCCTCTTTATATCACTTCAACATTTCTGTGGTTCACTCAACGATGCTTCTCTTTGGGCTGCTTTTTATTGTCCGTGCACAAAGACACGAGTTGTTATGGATTTTTCCCAAAGCCGGACCACATTTATGACATTCCCATCATCTCCAATCGATACTTGTATTCATTAATGTCACTGCATGGAAGAGGACTCGCAATGATGGTTGTTTTATGGTTTATTGGTCTCTGATTTTGTGTTTTGTCAATACCCAGACTGCATTTAAATATATTTATTATTGTTCCGCAAATGATATGATGTAATTATACAGTAGCTCAGCATTGGCCTTTGAGCCAGAGGGTCGTGGGTTCGAGCCCGACTCTCACCATCGACTCCCACTGACTACTGTCGTTGTGTCCTTGGCAAGACACTTAACCTCTGGGAACACCAGCCACAATGGGGCGGCTGCGGCTGTAAAGTGCCAAACCATTGTGTCCTTAGGCAAGACACTTTACCCCCATTGCCTAGAATAAGTCTGGTGTGTGTGTGAATGGTTGGTGGTGGTCGGAGGGGCCGATGGCACATACTGGTTGCCTCGCTTCTGTCAGTGTGCCCCAGGGCAGCTGTGGCTACAGTAGTAGTATGGAGTGAATGAATAATGACATGTAAAGCATCTTTGAGTGTCCAAAAAAGCGCTATATATTTTTCGGATGCCGGTCACGGTGTCTGAAACTTGAAAATAAGTCCCTTTGAGGCACACTAATTTCTAATGTTTGCTTGTCACATTGTGAGCATTGTTCAAAATTGGTTGGTTAAAACAATAGTCATTTTTTATATAATTTTCTTTTATTTATTTGTTTTTTCAGAAGAATTTGCATTACTAAAGACAATTTCCTGTATATTAGTGAGAATTCCTTTTCAGATTCAGTATTTGTGTAATTATTTCTGTCTGTAGTACTTTCTATTGGTTGGGAAGAGTTTAATTTCTTACAGCTGATTCTGAATATAGTTAAATTTAGAATTAACTAGCAGCAGAGCTGCTTGGAAGAAATTAGAAAACAGTTCATCTGGTAATTGCTTGTGGCCCGATTAATCACTGTGTGGTCCATTTCACATACTGTACATGCACCGGTGTATGGTTTTCTTCAAATAGTATTAGGTGCATGCTAAGACCAGCTACAAAAGAAAACATTTACTGCCTCTATGATAAAGATTTTACACTTAACTTGGAGTTCAAGCCAACACTGTCCGTAATACTGTATGTGTCTTAACCTGTAGGACTGTAAGATTTGGCCTGGCTCTAAACCTACATGTTTTTTCTACAGAATGTCCCGTACAACGCCAGCCTGTACAAGAGGCCCTTTGTGGAGTCTTTTGAGGAGACACCCTTGATAGTGGCCGTGCTCACCTACGTGGGCTATGGCATCCTGACGGTGTTCGGCTACCTCCGCGACTTCCTCCGCAGCTGGAGCATCGAGAAGTGCAACGTGGCCTGTGAGCGAGAGGAGCAGAAGGTACAGCAATAGAGGCAAAGACTTTTTTATTTCTGGTAAAACTGCATTTCTGTGTATTATTAATGAACCTATGAAAGAAGCCGCAATGTACCCACCACCTTTCGTTCTCAAACCATCATGAGACATTTAGTAGGCATGTAACAATATTGACAATATTGTGATACTAATTGTGCGTCGATATCATCGTGGTCGTGTTAAGGTATCAGAACGACGAGCAAAATCGGCTCACACAAACAAAACATTGTAAACTCCATGTCTACAACCATGCTCCTTTGTGCTGCACGCTGGAATAACCATTTAATAACTCCCTATTGTTTGTAGTTCTCTTTGTTGTCTCTTATCTTGCATATTGCACGTAAAAGGAAACAGACTGTATCTGGGACCAAATGTTAACAAAGGGTGTTCCTGAGTAGAATTTGACTTGAAGTGGTCAGAGTTTTTTGGCGATGTGTGATCCATAAATTCAACAGTACTGTGTGGCATGTATGGCCTGGTGACATATGTGTTGTTATTATCATCATAAACACAATATCATGACCTATTCTTGACCCAATCCTGGTGCAACTAAACCACCATAGTTTGTTATCTTGCTATCTTACTATCTTACTTTTTTATTATCTGTTATCTTAAATAATAGTTCCTCTTTGATGTTATCTTAATGTCCCCACTAACACGAAATAAAGGTTTATCTTATCTTATCCTTTTTTACAATTCCATGAGCCTTTCTACGATATTGCAATAATTATCAAAGTGTGAGATTGGGATCAATAACATGTGATACTGTGATATTTGGTTATTGTTACATCACGACACAGTGGCTGAGTGGCTCGCTTCTCAGCAAGAAGGTCCTGGGTTCGAATTCCTCTCAAAACAACCTTTCTGAGTGGAGTTTGCATGTTCTCCCTATGTCTGCTCTGGTTTCCCCACCACTAAAAAAACATGTACAGAGGGATTTGATGCGCCAGTGTGTTCAGTGTCTCGTGGATGTCAGTTCGTAGAGTTGAGAAGAAAAGTTAAGTATACAAAAAAATAGTGAATTAAAGCAAATTGAGTGAATAAAAACCAAGAAACCAACTAGATTCTAAAATTGTATGTCAAACAAGTCAAACATTTTTAGTTGCAAGTACACGGCTTGGGTGGAGGCTGTATTTCTAACCGCCTTTCCTATTTTCAAACTATTAAATGTGAAGTTTACTTTGGAAGGCATATTCCTGACTCTGTTTATTTTTCAGGATTTCGTCCCGCTGTACCAGGACTTTGAAAACTTCTACACTCGAAACCTGTACATGAGGATCCGGGACAACTGGAACCGGCCCATCTGCAGCGTCCCAGGAGCCAAGATGGACCTGATGCACAGAGTCTCCCCGGACTATAACTGGACCTTCCAGTGAGTGTGGAAGAAGGCGGCTCACAGTGGAGCATAGAACAAAAGAGGCAACTCACACCCAAAAAATGTCAATATTAACATTATGCACACAATATCAACTTTTATAGGAGCTGTTCATGAGTTTCTTTTATATCTTTATTTTTCCCCTATTATCCCAGTTTAGGGTGTTCTAAAAAAATAAAAATAAAATAGCTTAGATTAATGTCTATTTTTTATTTGAATAACACATATATTTTTTGAGTTTTGGGTTAGGGCTTTGTTTTCAGTAAAAGTAAACTGTATGTGTGTAAAATGTATTTATATATTTTTAATAATAATAATCTAATAAAAAAATGACGTGTGAATGTATCAATAGTGTCAACACGGGGCATTAGAAAAGTATCCAAAAGCCTTTATTTACTGAACCATATCGACTCATTTAGAAATCTCAACGTCATTGTCGTTGAGAAAAAAAAAGTGAATAATATTGTATCATATTGTATCAAATTGAAAATTATCTACATGTAGTGTCTCATGCGTGTCCAGATATGTGTTGTATCAGCTAGCTCTGAAAGATTACCCAGCCCTAATCTCAATAAACTCTCGTCCCATCTTCCGTTATAAACACATACACTTCAAAAATGTTACTGAACCTCTCCTAAATGTTACACGTCTCTATGATCTGACCAAATATGGACAGTTCCTGGAAAAATAACACAGTGGGACAACTATGGCTCTAAAGTGCAAAGTGTCAAAGTGTCCTTGGACCAGACACTTCACCCACATGGCCTCGTATGAATGTGGTGAGTGTGTGTGAATGAACGTTTGTCGTCTGAGGCGCAGATTGGCTGCTTCAATAATATCTTGGCACCACCATGTGTGGACTGAATAGACCATACAATGTACTGCCCTTTTGACTAAAACTGCTATAAAGAAACCAATGCATTTTCTCAATCAGGATATTTACTTGTTAAGAAGCTTTCTATTTTTATGTAACGACCAAAGGGCCTCGAAACTGAATAAACCCCAGCACAATGAATTTGTCTGCTAATAAAATGATTGGACAACAGTGACATCACCTTTCAGGGCTTTTTATCTCTCAGAGCCTGCTGATACGATATGCATCTTTATCAAAATCAGAATGAAATTATTTTTATTGCCATTGTAAGCAACAGGAAGTCACAAACTATAAATGTGCTTTGATATACCGTATGGTAAAAACAAGTTATTATAATAAAAAGTACTAAATGCATACAATTATACAATTTTTCTATTAATGAAAACACTAAATTGAACGTTTTCATTGAAAATCATATCTAAATTAGATAATGGATGGATGGGATGGTATCTAAATTACAAAATATCAATATTTATCTAAAACATGTATTTATGCATTCTTAACACACCCCTAATCACCAACCTATTTATCAGTGACAACACTACATTTCATGACATTCACATGACATCCTCTTTTTGTGAATGGACCATGTTGTAAATAAATAGTGGGTAAGTTGTGGTGATTCATACACTTGTTTCTTTAGTATATTATTTTAGGTACATAGGGCGGGCCTCTCACTGGTCATAAAGACATTGACCTTGTGTTGGCGATAAAGAGCTGGAATGAATCAGCCGGATGAAGAAAGCAGTTTCAGTCACATGCATCGCAACAGTTTGCACATAATTATGATGCGGTGTGTCTCAATATTATGTTGTAATGGAGTATTGGTTATACATTAACATCAAGCTTATGCAGTGGTGAGTCACACTGTTGAGACATCTTCCCCCACTCCCTCCCCCACTGCGCCTTACATTTCAAATAAACCTCAAAGTTTAAAATTCAATACACCAACAGCACAGGACATTATATCAGAAAACAGTGCACTTCTACCATCAAACTGTATCCCAACCATTTGGCCTATAATTTAAGAAAAAAGGGGTTCAAAATAAAACAATTATAATAAAACAGTGTTATTAGTGCTCCTAAATCTTCCAAAAAAGAACAAAATACATTGCTTTCTTCAAGGAGTCGATGTTAAAGGGTTACAGTCATGTTTAACTCATTGACTGCCAGCCCATTTCAGAACAGGTACTTCCATATTGCCAGCCGTTTCTGATGGTTTTTACTGATTTTTAAAGACCCACAGAATATTGTGTACTATGACTATCTGAAATCCGACACCAGATTCTAAAAGAATGGACTGTCTACTTTCCTCAGTAAAATGAATTTTGTTTATAGCTTTTTTCGTTCCCCTGTAATCCTCCGTCGAGTAGAGGGAAGTTTTACTGAAATCACCAGAAAGTTGAGAAAAAAGAGGCACAACATGTGCACCTAACTGTTTTCAAACCATTCAGAGAGAAATGCTGCCACCTGCTGGCTCGATAAAATATGGTCTCAAGTCATCCCCATACATATTAGATACAATAGACATCTGGGAACGTGAAAATAGCGGAAAACGCAATTGACGTATTTGTGCGTCAATGGCACACAATGAGCGGTAAGTCATCAACTTTAATTTGATGTCATTTGTAAAAGAATAATAGTATTGACCATGGGGCACTGTACCATTATGTATATTTAGTATTTTTCAACAATGATACATGTAAAATAGTTTTGCCACTTCATCAGTAAAATTTGCAGGAGGAGAATAGCTAAACCATTGACAGGGGGCCTCAAGTATGAGAAATAATTACCACAAATCAGGAACCTGTGGGCGAGAGCATGGGCGGGACTTCAAAGCGTTTCACTCACAATTGGAAAAGTACTTTGAAACAAGTATGATTGCACTTAGTTCATCCTTACTCAGGTCAGTGTAGCGTAGTGTGTAGTTTTGATACTAGTTTGTTTTAATGTTTAGTTTTGTTTATTAAGATCCACATTAGCCACTGAGATTCAGCACTTGGCTATTCTTCCTGGGGTCTCCTCAAAATTATGACATGCTCTAACACATACAATATGTTATGTATTCAAATCCTCTTTCACACACAGACTCTCACACATGCAGACACAACAACAACATGGAAGCTCAATGAGAAATAAATTACCAAAAAAATTATAACAAAGTACCTAACAACAACACATAGATACATATCTAAATATCTGATTTTCATTCATTTTGAACAACACTAATACCCACAATAGTGATGTCCTCCCCTGATGATTCCACTCTTCTCTCTCAATGTTGACATTTGACTAATTATGTGATTCCTGATGCAAATAGGATTGATCTTTTGCAATTGGGAGCTCATGAAAGAAGAATCAGTTTACTTGCAGCTCATACAAACGGTCGTTATCTACAGTGCATTTGTCCTTATTTCCCTGTCCAGGCACACGGGTCATGTGGTGAAGGATGTAATCAACATGGGCTCGTACAACTACCTGGGCTTCGCAGAGAAAATTGGACCCTGCGCTGAGGCCGCTCTCGAAGCCACTCACAAGTACGGAGCGGGAGTCGGTAGCACCCGCTGTGAGATGGGTACGAGCAAACCGCCACATTAACTTTGCCACTGAAGAGAAACCAAGTTATATAACAGTTACATATAGACCCGCTCTTGCAAGAGTCAATTAGTGAGAGGGCATAATTATCGGGTAAAACAGTTTTGTCTCAACTACTATGCTATAAGTTATATGTCATTATAGTGTGTTCCCTGCCTGGGTGTTTACTAGAAAGGAATACAGCTTTTATACAACCTTATTTTGTGATGGTGAAATTAGGGATGGGAAAAGATCTCAAGATTAAGATTCAAGAACGTATTTGCCATTTGCAGTAAAACCCCATTGGAAAAACTGTGCAAGACTATCCCAGTGTGCACCAGACAGAAGATGGTACATACCAGCCCTATTTACTATCACGCCATACGATTTTGTACACGAGTGAGTCAGCATCTTGTGAGGTTTTATCTTGCTGTGTTTTCATTCAATTGGGGAAAACATGAGTTGGATAGGTGAGCTAAATGGCACGTTTTGAGAAGCTACAACATCAAAAATTATAGTTGTTTTGAGATGGAACAACACCAATTTTGGGTTTCTCTAATATAAATGATATATAGATTGTTGGTTCATTGTTTTGTTTTCTCTCCTCACATCCCTAATGGTTGTCAGTGGTCCTCCAGCTCATTCTTTTAGAGTTAGAAACAGAGAAAAATCACCTTCAAACTGAAAAAAACGTGTGTTCCGTTTTAGGCAACCTGGACATTCACAAGGAGATGGAGCAGCTGGTTGCCCGGTTTCTTGGCGTGGAGTCAGCGATGGCGTTTGGCATGGGCTTTGCTACAAATTCCATGAACATTCCTGCACTGACGGGAAAGGTAAAAGTTCTGCTCCTGTCTTATAATAACAACCATCTTTTTAAGTCCAGTTTTATGAGATGACAAAGTTGCATGTCTCTGTCTGTTTTTAAATGGTATAAATGGTGTTTTTGCAGTAAGTGAATAAGTTGTCAGTGAAACCAAGGGAAAACATGGTAACTGCAGCAAACATACTAATTCATCCAATATTCTGAAATGATACAAACCACAACTTTTGATACTTTCAATATTTCATAATCAACACAAACTACAATACTAGTTTCAGCAGTGTATGACTTTCACATATTTTCTGAAACCAGGCCCTTTATTGTAGATTACCTCCTAACTGTGAAATCAATAATTATGATAATTGTTATGTTATGTTAGGTTATATTCTTATGCTTTCACACAATAACATAATCATTAGTGTATCTCTGATCATCCTAATGGGGCCAACATCCAAACTGTAAACCCTTTTTTTGACAGCTCAGATACTGCATATGTCATATAACACTCAGAAACAAGCATTTATTTTTGTAAATGACAGAAATGGATTCAAAGCATAAAATAAATGTATATGGTATAGTGGTATTACAAATGTACGTTTAAAATCATTATTATGTAGTTCTTTCATTCTATTATTCATATTTTCCAAACCAGTTTTAGGAATTTGAAGAGCAGTGGTGGCGACCCGAGGGAATTGTTAAAAACCAACAGTTCAATTGGACCCAAACCCCGGCCCGCATTTACCATGGGACTTTTAAGATGACTTTGAAGTTTGGTCTTTCCCAGTTATAATCGTAGCAAAACTACACGGTCTAAGCTTCATGTGTGTTCACCAAAGGCTCCCATAACACATTCAACTAGACTTTTTTTAAATCAGGAATTTTTCAGTTGTTCTTAACCCTTGTGTTGTCCTTGGGTCAAATTGACACTCCGTAATGATTAAAAAATACCCCAATCCTTTTCTCTTTTTTTTTTGATCACCCTTGGGCCTACTTTTACTCACTGTGGCGGGTCATTTTGGGTAGCACAAGGGTTAAGATAAGTCAGACAAGGAGTGTAGAAGATGTGGCCACTGTTTATGAGCCTAACAAAACAATAACAATACAAGACAAAGAATCGCGGGTCCTCTGAGGTTCATCAATTGTTAAGTGCACCTGTTGCTTTGTGGTGAGCTATACTGTGTCATGGAGCAATGGAGCCTGGTGGTGCATAACTTACACTGAAGACGATGAAGGGAAAATAGTGGAACGCAGAATGTGTTTGAATGTGTTGACTTTAGGCATTTCAAAAGGGTTAATCATTCAAGTATTGTCTGCCATTTTGAATTGTGCCGATAACGACTGTTTGAGGAAAGTTACATTTTGTTAGCGTAAACTTCACATCTTTGCGCCATAGTATTGTTTGCTTTCTCAAACCTTTTCTTCAGTGACGACTGATTGGTATTCAGTCATTTATACCTGTTTTTAAGTATGATGCAAAATGGAAGGTTTTTTAACTTTGAGTCTTCTTAATTTTCAGCTGATAATTTTAAATACAATATAGAAAAACAACAAATACAACTCTGGTGGTAGAATAGGGAGTTATATATGGCATTTTTTCACATTTGTTCCACCATATATCTTCTACTTGAGATATTTTGTCAAATTCTAAAACATGAAATGACAAAGTTCAAAATGTGCTGGCCTATGCATGTGATTGATGATATGTAGACTGGTTCAGCTTTATAGTAATCATGAATTATAATTATAAGGTTTGTGACCAAAAGTTATTAATAAAAGCTTATAATAGCTCAACAGGCACATCGGAAGTCTGTTTACTCTTTGAATTTGGTTAATGATTTTTTTCCTCTAATATAAAGCTTTAAACATAACATATTGTATATCCATTTTGAACTCCATACAGCTTGCGTCACATGAGTTACTTCCTTACAAAATCCCCAGTCAAGTCATTCCAATCTGGGGCAAAGGGTTATTTCTCACCACATGACATCACTTACTGTAAAATACTGCTGTGAAATTCACATGCTTCCTCTAAGACCTCTTGGAATGAGAAAAGCCTTTTTTTTCTCTAAATCTGAAAAACTTTGGTTCTCTGCAGGGTTGTCTCATCCTAAGTGACGAGCTGAATCATGCATCTCTGGTCCTGGGCGCGCGTCTGTCCGCCTCAACTATCCGTGTCTTCAAACACAACAGTGAGTGACCACGAAAATAATAATGATAATAATTTAAATCTCTCCATGGCCTCGCAGCAAAGTACATAAGTGACATGTAAGTGCCATATGAACCAACTCTGACTCTGAGGAGCACAGGGACGGGCCTCCTGCTAGTGCCCAGAGTCAGACCTAAACATGGGGAGCATTTCAGATTCATGTAGTTAACATTTGGAGCAGTCCTCCAAAAAATATGAGACAGGCTTCTTCTCTGTCAGTGTTTAAATCCAGGTTTAAAACTGGATAAGACAGTCTATCTTATTCTGTTTAGCACTTTGAGATGCCTTTTATATGAATTGTGCGTTTCAAATAAACTTGCCTTGCCTAATAATACAATTTTACTTATATAGCGTTTTGGACGTTCTCAAATATGCTTATATATGACCCCTTCTACACAATCCCATGTTTTATTGGACAGAGACATATGCTCATCTGTGAATACCATCATTCAAATCATCCCATGTGTTGACTAAGTGCACACAATGAGAGAGCGGCTTTTCCGTTTCAACACGGACACTCCTTACAGACTAACACAAGAAACCAGGATCAAAAGCCGTCATCAAATCCTAAAATACACACACACACATACGCACACACTTCAAAACTCCCATTGAGTCTGCAGATCGCCCTTTGTAATGTAATGTTTATTTTATCTCACGTTTGGCAGATATGCAGAGCCTGGAGAAGCTTCTGAGGGAGGCCATTGTTTACGGGCAGCCGAGAACGCATCGACCCTGGAAGAAGATCCTCATTGTGGTGGAGGGCATTTACAGGTGCGCCTATATCATAGTTTTATAGTAATCATCATGCATTGTATTGATCTTCCACCGGTCAATGTTGTATTTAAGCTGGTAACGTTAAACACATTGTAGTGTCTGATGTCCAAGTATTGATTTTGCAGCCGGTCTGAACATAAACAGTTTTATTAAATGAGCCCTGTGTAACTTTTCTAATGCACTGGTTGGCGTTGTCCGACATTTTCCATGATATTGTTACAACCCTAAACATGGCTGTGGCAAGGTGAAATGAACCTAACATAAACAACCAGGTGTAAATGCTAAATTGAATGGCCTTTTATTGTGGGGCAGAAAGGGCTAACGAAGAAATGTGTTTACAAAACTTAAACTCAAAAACTAGTGTCATATAAAGTTGCAAAAGTCTTAATCTCAATCTCTTAAGAGAACTTGAGAGAACTTTGACGATTACTTACAAGTTGATATACTAAACTCTCTAAATCACTAAAGGTCAGGTCTCAGCAAAAACATGTATATGAAAATGAACTTTCCTTGTTGACAGGATGCAGTTGATGGGAATTTACGGGCCATATTTGTAAATAGGTTGCTTTTGTGTTAGAGAATTCTTGTTTGGTTGGAGGGCAGGTGCCAATGCAACTGTATGGGAAGGATTTCTCAGATTTTAATTTAGAAACCCACCAAATGATTACGTCTGAAAGTCCCTTCTACTGGCCAACATCATTGTGTGTGTGTGTGTGTGTGTGTGTGTGTGTGAGAGAGAGTTTTAAAATATTGTCACCAATTCTTGACACCTTTTTATGAGAAAATAGTAATCATGTTCTGACAAAGAAAATTTGTAACTTTGTGACAGTTTTTGTTTCATGTTAGTTGGGCCAGGAGTAGTTAGTCCAAAACTAAGGGTGCATTCTCACTTTGGTTCACTTTATCAATACTTGCACCAATTCTGATTCATTCGGGGCAAACGTTCTTTATTTGTGGATGTAAAGCCAAGCAAGTGAGCATGTGTCCTCTAGTTATTTTAAACTTTTTCAAACGGATCTGTGAAGCATTTTTTCTCCATATGAACCAGACCAATACGTGTGAACGAGGCCTAGGACTAGATATCTTGTTTTTTGAAAGTTACCATAGTTACCAGAGTAGATTTCATCCTAGTATTCTGTCTCATATAGTATCAAACAGCAACCAATCAATATGTTTCTTTTTGAGAGTGTCAGACATAATCAATGGACCTCTAAAGCATTCTTAATCGAGCCGGTGTTCACAGGGGTCTGTGAGGGTGTTGCTGTATCTGCTTACACTCGCACAAAATCACCTTCTCTCAAAGGTTAAGACAACCCTGCATGTTTCTCCTATAGTTAACCAACACTGTATGTATGTATATACCGTACAGCACAATATTGATTCAAAACGGGCTATTATAAAATAAAACACAATTTTGTTTGCACATAGTTGCTTTCTGGATTGAAACCTCTATATGATAATAACAAAAAATAAATTAGATGAATTAACAATTAAACAAACTTGTGGTGTAGTTCTTAATAATATATAAATACTTAATATATTTACTTTTTGTTTTATTTTTAATAATCCATTATGATTAATCACATTACTTTAAACCTCAACCTTTTATATCATGTTTTTATATTTTTCTCATTCATAGATACCATAGATTAACATTTCCTTCCACAGACATGTGAGTGAATTTATGTATTTATGTGCAGCTCTTTGGAAACTGTTTAGAAAATGTGCAATAAATTAAAATGGATGGGATTGGACGGATACAAATAATTAAATCTGGAGGTTTATAGTTATTTATTGTCTATCTGGTTGGGACAGTGCATGTTAATGAACACACCACTCTGGTTTGTAGCCCAGGGCTAATTTCCAATCGTCGTCCCACAGTGCTGTTGTTATTCAGCTTCTTTCCAAATATCAAAACTCCAGTTTAATGTTGTGTAAAACATGTTAAGGTTGTAGTTAGATTTCTTTAAACATGTTTGGAGCCAACAGATATCTGGACTTCAGTCTGTAATTGTAAATATTGATCCTATTGCCCACTTTTATCCTGGTCTTCCAGCATGGAGGGCTCCATCGTGCGCCTCCCGGAGATCATCGCCCTGAAGAAGCGTTACAGAGCTTACCTGTATCTGGACGAGGCTCACAGCATTGGAGCCCTGGGACCCAACGGCCGAGGGGTGGTGGACTACTTTGGCTTGGACCCCAAAGATGTGGACGTCATGATGGGGACATTTACCAAAAGCTTTGGAGCAGCTGGAGGATACATCGGCGGCAAAACGGTGATTATCCAATCACAAAGCAGAATCAGTAGCATCTGTCTATTATTTGGGTTGCCTGTATCTTTGGTGAAATCCAGTTGGCTTGGTCTTTGCCTAAACCCCTGGAGCTGGAGCCCATACACATAGAAGAGCTGTGTGCGTACTTGCATGATAAAGAAGGAAATAACTTAAAATACATGCTAAGCTATCACTTTATACGTATACCAAATAACATTGTGTTAGTGGTTCAGCAATAAATAACAATACTATCTGAAGTTGTGCTGGCCTCAGATTAGATTTTATTTAATTGCATTCTTAAGGGGAAGAAAATGGATGGATGGATTAAATGCATTTGGGTTTTTTTGTGACAGGACCTGATTGATTACTTGAGGAAACACTCCCACAGTGCAGTGTATGCCACCTCTATATCGCCCCCTGTGGCTCAGCAGATCATTACTTCTATGAAGATCATAATGGGAGAGGATGGGACACCGCTCGGTAAGTAAAGCCACAAGATATGATAACGTTTTTTTTTATAGTAGAATTTAGATTGGACATTATCGGCAGCAGAGCATGTTGGCACATATGGGTAAGCTGTACTGGTAAAACACAGAATATCTATGTCTTGATAAGGATCATGTTTTTCACTTGCATACAAACTATTTAAAAACAAGACAAACGTGGTGGAAAGTTCAGATGACCTCTGGCCTCGGGTGCACATTAGTCACATGCTCTGATGGAGTCTGTGCACCATCCAGTACCCATCCTAGAGACTCCAGGATGCCCAGATACTCTGCACTGCTGTTCAGTCCGTGGCAGTGAGAAACTTATCCTTCACATGAAGGCGAGTCTCAATCACCTGGGAAAACTCCAACATGAGAGATGGAGGGAAATAATCTGGCCAAGTGGTCAAGATCCAACCCATGACGTCCCACATTCTCACAGCCAGATGCTGTGTGCATAGACTGGGTCAATGAGGCACTCTCCTCTCTCTGCCCTCGACCCCCTTGAACCCTGTCCAGCGAACACCAGGCCCTGTAGCCAAAGACCAACCCCAGACTTTGTGGCACTGTATGGAGTGGCATCCTGGTCATTTGTTAATGGTGATAAATACTACTTTGTCTGACCTGTTTAGGGTTAGCCTGACGCCCTGGAACAAACTCATTTTAGTCGGGAGCCAAATTTAAAAACATAAGAGCTGGTTGGGGCCAGAAGTATAAAAGTAGTATAATTTTGTATATTTTTATATATTTTATGTGGAGAGGGCGGTTCTTTCCTAAAATTTGGGAAAATCCTCCTGTATACCTTAAACATTTGAGAACAGATTAAATGATCTGGCTGTTTTCTTTAAAATAATATGCTTGCTTTAGAGTGAAGTACAACACGCCATAGTACCTCGTTACTATCAAAGCTGCAAGTAAATGTATTAATAAACTATAAATAATAATAATTGAAAATCACTTCAGCAGTTCGCAAGCCAAATTTGGACCACAGGCTTGAGTTTGACATGCCTGCCCTCGGAAATAAAGTGACTTGAGCCTTCCAGGCATACATTTTTGAGCAAAATACTCAGCTATGTTTACCTCCCGTAGGTGCAGTGCGTTTAAAGCAGCTATCAGAAAACACTACCTATTTCCGCCAAAAACTCCGCGAGATGGGCTTCATCATCTACGGCAACGACGACTCCCCCGTGGTTCCCCTGATGCTGTACATGCCGGCCAAAATCGGGTAAAGCTTCATTCACTCTTCCACTTTAGAGCAATGAATAAGAGTTTAGCGGGTGAACCCCTTCATCTGTAATGTCTCTGTCCCTCAGGGCTTTTGGGCGGGAGATGCTGAAGAGGAACATCGGTACCGTGGTGGTGGGCTTCCCGGCCACACCCATCATTGAGTCTAGAGCACGATTCTGCATCTCGGCCGCTCACACCAGGGAAATGCTCGACACGGTCAGTCCTCAGACCATCAGCAGATCATTCAGTCATCAGAGACAATTTCAAAAACACCTTGGCCTTGATATTTCTGGTCATATTCTTGAAACAAATGCACTTCTTGCTGCTGGTGCAAAACAGAATGAAGCTGAAGAACAAAAAGTCTAGGAGATAGCAGTGTTGTGGTTGCTAACATGCTACGTGTAGGGCCAACATTTAAGGCTTTTAACAATACTATAATAAATTGTATACATTGTTTTTGAGTGAATGATGGATGCTTAAGTAATATGAATTCTCCTGCATTCAATCAATCAATCAATCATCTAATTTATATAGCACAGTTCATACAGAATGCAACCCAAAGTGCGTCACATTGACAACATTTAAAGCCAATATACACTGTAAAAACATATTCAAAAGACATTCTCAAGAAAGAAATCTTAAAATATGTTCAAATTTGGCATCAGAATTTAGGCCAGTTTTTTTAAAAGCTCAAGTGATAATAGTTTCCAATAGCTTATTCTATTTCCAAAGATCTTCATCTCCAAGCTGTCTTACGGACAGCTTGGCCGTGTCAACACCATTTGGAAGAGTCCATTTAAAGGGCATCAGCTCTGCCTTTGTAGAGCGCTCCCAGTCACAGCTTTTTCCCACTTTGGAAAAGCAGACTCCAGATAGGAAAACGCACTGGGCCAGGGGAAGGTAAATAGTTTCCAGGTGTCCTGCGGTGTTGCAGATCTGATATGGTCTCCTGTGGAAAGACTGGAGGAGTGTGTGGTTACCGTGGGAGACCCTGTTCACCTTGTCGGCAGTCACTAGTTATTACAGAGCTCGACACAAAACTGCTGCTTCAGGTGTGATCCAGACACATCACTTCATGTATTACACAGGCAACTGTTGCTTGTATCTGTATGATATCATCTTTGCACTTTTAGCTGACATTTTCTATCATCATTGAATTATTAGTGTTTGATACTTCAGTCTTATTAAGTCAATAATTTTCAAAAAACTAGATTAGAACCAATGCTTTAGGTTGAAATGACAAAAAGTGATCTTTAAGGCAGAAGAGTTAGGGGGCCAACTGTGTGTCTGTTTGCGCCGGAAGTGATATGAGTCATAAAAGCGAGGACGGAACGAAAAACAAGCAGTTTCTGATGAGAGAAGAGCTCAATTCATTATTTTCGGATTGCCCCTTGAGATGAATCCTCTCTTTTTCAAAGAGGCTGTTTTCCATAATAATAGAATAATAATACTGTCTGTATGAAGACGAGAGGACTCGAGTAGACATGAGTCTTCTGAGCCTTCAATTGAGACTTGACTCTAAATTAGAAAATTTGAAAATCTATTTGGATTCAACATCCCAGTGACTAAATGTTTGATATACTGTAATTCCACACACAAATAAAACATACATTTTGCATACATACATACATAGGCTTTTATGATTTCTGTTTTTACTAACTAAAATACTTTTTCATTTTACAGGCACTGAGAGCCATCAGTGAAGTAGGCGACCTGCTGCAGTTGAAGTACTCCCGTCGTGTGCACCGCGCCCCCTCGGTGAGCTGGACGTCCGAGGAAAGCCTGCTCCAGGACTGAGGACCTACTGACCATAAGACTGACCATATCCCCACCAGCCTATGCCCGTCCCGCACCTGTCTGCATCCAAACCAAAGTCTGATTAGAACAAATTGATCTTCCTGTTTGTCTTTCGTGCTCCTACAGAATGTCTGCCTGTGGTTTGTCCTGTGTGCACATCTAACGTAGGTCTTAGAAATGTGCAATAAGAAACATTTTATACAGAACAATGAAAGAGCTTATTGCCTTGGCTTCATTGCTTAAACATGAAGATAAAATATAAAACTAGTCAAGTCACTGAGATGTCGGTGCAAACACGAAGGTATAGGACAACATTATTTATCGCTGGCGACGGAAATTGCACCTGAGGAAAACTCACTGTACCTAATAAGCATCCAGAATGACCGATCACAGAAGTAACTGAAGCACACGACTGTATGTATGTAGCTCATCTCTGAAACGCTTTTACTTGAAAAAATAGACCTGTTTCATATCTTACGATTCAAAGCAGCAAAGCAGACGTTCTAAAAAATAATACTGTTAACAAGAGAAAGATCCAGAGGAGCTATGGATTATTTTATACTGCTATTTTTCTATATAAAAAAATGAAAGTCTTATTTACTGTTAATGTACTGTTTACACCTGCTCTCAGCCTGGACTTGAGCCCTGCGTCTGTCATGTGTCTTTAAGCTAACAAGCTCCACGTGTGATTAAGTTTTCTCACTGAAGTACTTAGTTTGTGAATGTTATGTCTGTATGTATGACGATGGCCCCATCTGATCTACAGACTGTCAGTGTATTTATTGAAATCTTGTAACTTTTCCTGGAACTGTTCAAAAAAAAGAGGCAGCTGAAGTGTCCCGTTGTATGTTATAAGTCTTAATTCAGTGCGCAATCTACTGACGAGCATGGTGACGCAGAGGTGGAACGTTTTGATAGCATATTTGTTTGTTTTAAACCCAGGTCTTTTTTTTCATAACAAAGGAATCATACAGTCTTACCTCCAAAAGCCACATGCTACTGACTATATGTATGTTCTGTGTGCTATAGATCAACTTCCACCTCTGTTGAAATGCACAGATGACGTAGAAACTGATTTTTGCATAGAAAAAAACTGGCATTCCACTGTTTTTAAATTGTTTTAAATTATTATTACACTGATTTTTATCTAGAAATGTCATGTCCATTTTGAACACTAAAATGTCTATACTTGTACATGCGTTTTGGTTTTGTCATTTTCAGTTGTGAAGTAGAGCCTGGTGGCAGTCAGAGGTACTGCAGCTCTACAGATGACCATTCCTTTATGAGCATTGGTTCAAGAATCATATTTTTGTTATGTTTGAGAATGTCCATATTTATATTTAATTTTAAGCATTCCATTTTTATTTTACTGTCACTATTCAAAGCAAGTCGTTGATGCATTTACAATAGAACCACATTCTACAATCTACATGAATGTGCATGTAAAGCCCATGTTAAATACAAAGTTTTATACTTGTTGTTTTTGCCCTTTTAAGTGTGATCTAACTTTGTCAAGTCATGATATTGGAAATGGTCATGTATTAAACTCTTTGTTCCACACACTTTCTCTAAGTGTTTTCTTGACCTTCTACTCGTCTACTGCTACAATTGATGTTTTTACTTGTTATTGCCAATGGATTCCTTTTGTACCTTTAATCAATAATTTTATTTCTTCTCATAATCTTGATCTTATGTTCATGGCTGAAACTTGGCTTGACCAAAATATAGGAAAATGCAGTTTTAATAGAAGCATCACCACCAAATTTCAAGTTTGAATCTGAAATACGGGAAAACAAAAAAGGAGGAGGCTTAGCTGCCATTTTTAGAGACCACTTTGTCTCCCATAGAATGTCTCTTGGGAAGTTTTCGTCATTTGAATATGTGTCTTTTAAAATACAACAAAAACAATCTCCTCCAATACTCTTCGTTGTCCTACAGTATACAAGCCACCGCAGTCATGTCACAGTTTTATTGATCATTTTACCGAGTTGCTTTCAGTTGTATGCACAGATTTTGATAGTTTGGTTATTACAGGTGATTTTAATATTCATGTGGATAATGTTGATGACAGAAATGCAAATGAGCTGAGTTCTGTACTTGAATCCTTTGATCTCACTCAGCACGTAAGTGGCCCCACCCACAGCAGAGGGCACACTCTAGATCTGTTAGTTACAAAGGGGGTGATTATTTCAAATGTAAACGTGGTCGATGTTGCTCTTTCGGATCATTTCTGTGTTTTTTTTGACATGTGTTTCACTAACAAACCACCAGTGGACTCTGCAACTGTTCGAAGAAGGCGCATAAATGAAAATACGAGTGAACTATTTATGGAAATGATAAACTTTGAGAATGCATCGTATTCTACTGTAGATGAACTGTTTAACTCTGTCACCTCTAGTGTTTTGAATGTTCTGGATACCGTTGCCCCTGTGAAGGTTAAAATAGTGAAAAATAAGCAGAAGGCGCCGTGGGCTAAAGCAGACTCGGTCAGGGCACAAAAGAGAAAGTGCCGGAGGGCCGAGCGGAAGTGGCGCAAGTCCAACCTCCAGGTAGATTACGAGATCTTCAAAGATAAGTTGTGCGAGTTTAACCGGGTGCTACGTAGTACGAGAGAAAGGTATTTTTCTGAAATGATTGAAGGCTGCAGCAACAATCTGCGTGTTCTGTTCTCAACAGTTAATAGATTAACAAACCCCCCTGTTCAAATGCCATTAGAGCTTACTTCCAAACGTAAATGCAATGAGTTTGCTAATTTTTTCAATGACAAGGTTCAAGGCATCAAAAGCGCCATTGTCTCCAATCCACAGATAACCATCCAACAGCCAGAAAGGCTCTCTGAGCTAACTCACTTTGCACCTGTAAATGATAAAACTGTCCAAGAGATAATCTCCAGTTTGAGCTCCTCCACATGCAGCCTGTATGTACTACCCACTAGATTTCTGAAGTCTGTTCTGAGCAGTCTGTTACCTTCACTCACACAGATAGTAAACATGTCCCTTCATTCTGGAATATTCCCAAAGGCCCTGAAAACTGCAGTCATCAGGCCCCTGCTAAAAAAGAGCAGTCTGGATGCCACTGTACTTAACAACTATCGTCCCATCTCAAATCTGCCATTTATGGGGAAAGTCCTTGAGAAAGTTGTCTACCTACAGCTTACTAGATTTCTTATAATCAACAACTCATTTGATATGTTTCAGTCCGGCTTTAGACCCCACCACAGCACTGAGACTGCTCTCGTTAAGGTTACAAACGATATCCGGCTGAACACTGACGCAGGCCAAGTCTCAATCTTAATCTTGTTAGATCTAAGTGCTGCCTTTGACACCGTCGACCATGAGATCCTCTTACAGAGACTAGAGGACTGGGTTGGCGTCACTGGCACCGCCCTAAGTTGGTTTAGGTCTTACCTTGAAGACAGGAAGTACTTTGTGGAGATTGGAAACTGTGTCTCAGATCATATGGCCCTGACCTGTGGAGTCCCACAGGGGTCGATCCTGGGACCTCTTCTGTTCAATCTCTACATGCTGCCGTTAGGTCAGTTAATACGCAGAAACAAAGTTTCCTATCATAACTATGCAGACGACACTCAGATCTATGTCTCACTGACTGCAGGAGAACATGGACCAGTGGACTCACTCCTTCACTGTATCCAACAGATCAGTGAGTGGATGCAAAACAACTTCCTTCAGCTAAACGCAGACAAAACTGAAATGATTGTCTTTGGTCCCCAGAAACAAAGAGAGAGCGTCATCTGTCACCTACAGTCTCTCTCCCTAAAACCTTCAAACAAGGTCAGAAATCTAGGGGTAATACTGGACTCAGACTTAAATTTTAATAGCCACATCAAATCAGTAACATCAGCAGCTTTTTACCATCTAAAAAACATTGCCAGGATCAAAAACATAGTGTCTAAAGCAGACTTGGAGATTCTTATCCATGCATTTGTCTCCAGTAGGTTAGACTACTGCAATGGCCTGCTCACAGGTCTGTCCAAACAGGCTGTAAAACAGCTGCAGTACATTCAAAATGCAGCAGCTCGAGTCCTGACAAGAACCAGGAAGTACGACCATATTAGTCCAGTCCTCAGGTCTCTGCACTGGCTTCCTGTGGCTCAGAGAATAAACTTTAAAACAGCTCTGCTTGTGTACAAGTCTCTCCATAGCCTCGCACCAAAATATATTAGTGACATGTTAGTCCCATATGAACCAGCCCGGACTCTGAGGAGCACAGGGACTGGACTCCTGTTAGTGCCCAGAGTCAGAACTAAACATGGGGAGGCTGCTTTTCAGATTAATGCTGCTAAAATCTGGAACAGTCTTCCTGAAGATGTGAGACAGGCCTCCTCTCTGACAATGTTTAAAACCAGGTTAAAGACGGTTCTGTTTAACTGTGCATACAACTGAGGGATTTTATATTTTTATCTTTCTTTTTAATGTTCTGTGATAATTTATGATTTTAATGCTTTCTTGTTTTGTTCAGCACTTTGAATTGCCTTGTGTATGAATTGTGCTATATAAATAAACTTGCCTTGCCTTGCCTTGCCTACCTCATGTGACTGGGGTATACAAGCATTAATGCTTGTTTATTGTCACTGAGAAATGTCAAGCAAAAGAATAACATCTATAGCAACGAGAAGTGGTGGACCCCATCAGAAAGTTTACACAATACACATTTACATCTGCTAAGTTCATCATTGGCAGCTCATATTTAGGAAATAGTATTCTATGTTTTCGTTTTTCTTCCTTTCCACCTCTGAGCATGAGCCACAGTGTGAAGTTGAACCCTGGTGTGAACTGAGCCTCTGCGTGGCGGCTTCACATGGACAAAAATCTGCAAATATTTAACAAAATATTTGTGGCTGTGGGCGTCACAAGGAGAGCTTTGGTTCTTATTCCAACAATGGCCAATGAACTAGGTAGAAGAGGTCTATATGAACTTCCTCCACAGAGTGGCTGGGCACTTAGAGTGAGGAGCTCAGTCTCACAGGAGAAGCTTGGAGT